GATCTGCACTCCACTCAGCATGTGGAACAACATCCGGATTTTCAACACCAACGTCAAGTCAGTGTTTCTGTATGATTCAGAGACTTGGTGCGTTATGAAAGGGATTTCCAACAAACTACAGACACTCATCAACAACTGCTTACGCTCGCTACTGAAGATCAGATGGTCAGGAAGAATAAGCAACAAAGAGCTCTGGGAACGAACCAACGAAGCAAGAGCCTATCGCTCAACAAGTATGCAGTGGAAGGAAGTGGAGATGGATTGAGCGTGCACTGAGAAGGCCTACTGGGGACATCACGCACCAGGCCAGTTGCTCGAGTGGAACCTCAATGGGAAGCGACGAGTTGGGCGTCCGATTTGAGGGTGACATGGAGGAGATCGTGCGAGGAGGAAGTGAGAGCTTGTGGGCTGTCGCGGAGCCAGGTTCAACAGATTTCAGAGAAGAGAGTTCACTGGAGACGTGCTAGTGAAGCCCTATGTTCCACTAGGAACCCAAGGGACAAATAATAATAATTATAATCGGGGCATCCGCACAGGAGCCCATCTACCAATAGAGATCGATCAATTCAGTCCATTGAACGACGGGATAATACAAGTAACAACATATCAAATATTAGGATGGTTACGCTGAAGGTTATTAGTTCAATTCCAAAGAGGCATTATCAAATACATGTAAGTACAAACGAAGAAGTAGTAGACTACTGCGTTGTGCAGAAGCAACACCGGTCCGTCAACTGAAACAAAACTTATATATGAATCCTCATGGATTTGACGTGACTAATTTCATTTTCCTACACCCTTACTATTTTATTCTTTATCTCATTGTATTTCGAGGTTAATAGGGAGTTTAGTTTCTGGGTAGTAAACATCACGGACTGAAGACAACTGGAGGACCATTACGTGCTGTTGAGGAGTCCTATGCTAGGATGAAACAACTTTCCAACGCTTCCAGCTTTTCAATGGTTCTTCAATTGATGTCAAATATTATTTATATCTGCGTCATTTTCAATTTACTTGAATCCATTATATCCTTTCCTATTCGTCTACCATAAATTCATGCACTTTGCACATTTTGTTCTCTCCCTGTCATCGAAATTCTTATCACCTTGAGTTGTAATTATATCCCTGCACTGGTATTAGGCCATATTATTTACTTTATTTATCATTTTGACTATCTGAGATAGCCATGAGGCTGGTGGTCGTTGGTTTGAATCCGGCAGCGGTCCAAATTTTCATTTCACCTATAATCACCACTCAGTATTTACTTTGTGTTCATTGATCAATTTCATAGCCTTATTTGTTATGTAACTTGATCTCTGTACTGATTAATTAGGTCATCAATCTTGTCATTTATCTCTGTTCCCATATAATACATCAAAGATGTATGCCGTATTGATTTTACTATTGGAATGTATCACAAACGACTTATCCTGGTCACTGATAGCTTATTCTACACGACTGTAAATTCAGTGAGTATGTAGAAGGTTTAGAGTATATAAAAATTAAATCCGATTCATCTTATAATGTTTGTCTTTTGTGATTTTGCAAAACTTCATCGAGGGAATTAATTGTATGAAATGAGGAAGTTTAAATAAAATTCAGTACTCCTAAAATTACTGGAGTTATACCCTATTAGAACAATACATATAAGCGAACAGTATTGTTTTCAATTAGATCCTCTTCAGGCTTTAACGTAATACAAATAGCTTATTATATATAAAGAATTAAACCAATCATGTAGATTTGTCAGTTGATGTGATAAATGTTTTAAGTTCGGTTTTATCTCACCTCGTTGATAGTGGTCACTTACTTGGTAGATAAGGAAAATGCTTTCACGATTATTCACCCCATACCATCTCATCTTTCGAACTCGTCTTTTACACATAGCAGAAGCTGTGGGGATTCAAGCTAGCAAGCCTAGTCTTTGTATCCAAAAGAAATTTCAACATCCCTTATCCCTCACTTGGACAGGGAATACTTAGTTAGTAACTTATCATTGAGTATTTTTCTACCGCTTCCCTATTCTTCACCCCTTTCATATACTTACTGCACTTGTCTAGACTTTGTTTATCCATCTACCTCGTCCTTCGGTATTACATAACTTTTATTTTCCCAAGCTTTTGACTCACTTCGATTATCGGTGAAGTGTCGACATTTTCATCCTGCTTTCTTGGTTCTCATCATCATTATCATGTATATTGCAAGTGCTTTAGTCAACATTATCACTTTTATTATTATTATCGTTATTATTATTATTTGTATCATTATTACCATCGATATTTTAAAACATTTATCACATCAACTGACAAATCTACATGATTGGTTTAATTCTTTATGTATATATTAAGCTATTTGTATTAGGTTAAAGCCTGAAGAGGATCTAATTGAAAACAATACTGTTCGCTTATATGTCTTGTTCTAATTTATATTATGGGAATTTTTAAAACTCTTATAGCCTACTGGTGAAGCAAAACACTCACTGGAAGTTTGACCACTGAGCCATGGGTTGGGACCTCGTTACAATGAGTGAGAAGAAGACATTAAGCGAACAATATTGTTTCCAATCAGCTCTCATCAGCCTTTACGCTAATATACATAAATTTTCTCATATATGAAACATTAAACCAATCACGGTGGATCATTTAGTCTGTAATAATTAGGAAATGAAGTTTGAAAATAGTAGATGTCTAGACAATTACAATAATTTATACTGGGTGATGACTGAAGGTGAAATGAAAATCTGGACTACGGCCGGGTTCGGACAGCGACCCGGTGGTCGGTGCAAGTCTTCATTTCACCTTCAATCATAACCCAGTAACAATACAAGTCTGCCAAACTACGGCTATCTCCGATAATGAAATGATAATCAGATTACCGATGGCAATAATAATAATTATCGCGATGATGATAAGAACAATGGGTACAGCATGGTACTGCAAACATTTAAACAATGTCGATCAAAACTTAGAAAAATAAAAGTTACGTAATACTAAAAGATGAAATGTGTAGACAATCAAAGTCTAAACAAATGAATATATGTGAAAGGGGTGAAGCGAGGGGAAAAGGATGAAAAGTGAATCTATCTTTGAAGTTATTTATTAGGTTCCTCCTGGCCAAAGCAGAGATAAAGGGTGCACAAACTTTTTCTGCACACAAAGACTAGGCTTGTTTTGTCTAATTCTCATAGACTCAGCTATATGTAAAATGCGGGTGTGAATTCTATTCGAAAGATTTTGTGGAATGCGATAGATGATCTGGAACGCTTTGGTCTTGTCTATTGCGTGACTACTGTCGACTAAATTTGACAGAATCGAACTTCGTATTGACTTCATTTGTCCCTTTCCAAGGCATGATGGTAGGTGCTCAGCGGCACGTTTTTTAAGCTGCTTAGTTGTACGCTCAATACAGCCTTCTCCACTGGGCAGCTGAATTGATAAATGCACATAGAAGTGGTAGAACAATTATCGGCCGACTAGAAAATGATAAACAGAGGTTAGCAGCAAAAAATGTTCTTCTGATGGCTGTAGACATCCTGTGGAATAGAACTTCACTAGGTGCGTCACCTTTGAATTAGAGTTTCATGAATATTGATTTCTTTTGGGCAACCATTTGATCAGATTTCTTGCTTATTTTTTTCGTGTCTCTTGATAAAACTACGGGGTAACTCAATTCTAGCGACATATTATGGATGTGTTCTAACTCCTTTTGTATCAAGTCATCGGAACAGATCCTATTGGCTCTGTTTGTAAGACATTTTATTAGACTTCTGTTATATCGAATGGGCAGAAAGCTAAGAAAATGTATGTTACTGACCTGTAGATGTGATTTTTCTGTACACCTTTCTACTGGGTGACCCATCTTTTCTTCTAATCAATAGGACATCTAAAAAATGTAGCATATTTTCTTATTCTTCTTTACAAGTGAAAGTGAGAGAGGGACGCATGTCACTGAATTTCCCTAACAATTCATTTTTGTCGGCATTTCGGTCAAGGATGATGAAAGTGTCGTCAATTTAACGTTTATACATATGCAGGTTATCGATGATATCTTTCAGTCATTGATTCTCAAGTTTAGCAAGAAAAAAATCAACTAATATCTGACCTAACGGTAGAACCCATGGCAATTCCATCGACTTGCATTTAATATGTACCATTAAAAAAAAAAAAGCACACTCATGGTGCATCACAGAAGTAATTGTTTGAGAGTATGTTTGGAAGGGAACGAGAATACAGTGACGAAGGAAGGAATGTTTATTGTCAACAAGTGGGACAGTAGTCATCAAATATGGTACACTTTGCACTAAGAGCGTCATTTGGAAAATGTGCTTCATTTCCTCTCCTGCTTCTCTCTTGATTTGCTCTTAATACCTTCGCGTTGTCTCCTGTGTTTCTTTTGGCAGAATCCTTACCCATCGCTGGTAATTCCCTATGATTTCTGCCGCCCACTCAAAATATACTACTTATATCTAATCTTATCAGCAACGCCCACTTCATCTCCTGGAAGTCCAGCATTAATCTACGTTTCTGCTACTTGCTGACAAATGAAATCCACTGTTTCGAGAAGTGAATAAAGAAGCAATATCTCAATATAACATATGTTTCCCGTTCATATTCAAGATTTCTGAATTGGAGATGAAGTCGAATACCATGCTGTTCCCATTGTTCTTATCATCATTCAGATAATTATTATTACTGCCATTATTATTGTCTAGATAACTACTGTTTGCATACTTCATTTCCTAATTATCACAGACTAAGTAATACACCAACCTCGCGTGGTTAACTGGTCGATCCTAAGCCGGGATAAAGAGGGAAGTTTAAAAGACTGCAGAAGATAGAGTGGAATGGAAGCGTGCTAGTGAAGCCCTATGTTCCGCTAGGAACCCAAGTGAAAAAAAATAAATAAATAATACACCATGATTGGTTTAATGTTTTATATACGAGAAAATCTATGTATATTAGCGTAAAGCTTGATGAGAGCTATTTGAAAACAATATTGTTCGCTTATACACATCTTGTTCTAATTTTGACAATGGGGAATTTTTAATCAACGAGACATTTGAGGTAACAGATTGTCTATTGAATGAACGTACAAGTGATCTACTGAATTATGTGCATTTCAATAAAAAAACTTCAAGTAAAGAGATGGTGACGAGCAAATTAGAAAGGGAACGATTAAACCTGAATTGTACTGAAATTCGAGATTAGTAAGTCTACCATATATGAAATGAATAACCAATCTATCAGAAAATTAATTTAATCTTAAGGATAAAACCACATTACAGGAAAAGTATGTGGATACTGACAAAGGCTCTAACACTTTTATATAACATAAAACATTACTGATAAAACAAAACAGCTGTTGAATGAATGAAGAGGGAAGAAAAACTTCTGAAAAATAAATTCTATCAACATTTTATTGTGAAAAATTCACTCTAATTATAGACTAGACTATTTTCACATATTTTGAATGACAAGAAATTATAAAAACTTTAGGAGAAATATAAAGGTGGTAAACGAAGTCAAGTAGCCAGACTAGCCAGCAGAATGACGAAAGAGACAAAAAAGTCAACAATAAACTAATTGATCAGAATACAGCAAGGAGACACGTCTACCTCCAAAATGGAGATGATGATGTTGGCGAAATGAAAATGCTAAACAAGGAAGAAATAGAAACCATATATAATTGTTGGCAGTTTTAGAGTTTGTAAGAAAGAAAGGAGACGACAATGAAGGATACACATATGCAAAACTTTCTACAACATAAAAGAGATATCCTACTAGATAAGGTCTTATCCATTATATATCCATATATAAATATATGAAGTTATTTATTGCCTTTCCTTGACTATTTTAATCTTACTGATTGCCTAGTTCACGCATTCGATTAAGAGCACTTCCAGCCTTAAACCATTCTAGTTGATTCTCATTGAAGGTATGCGACAGTTGAATCTCTTCAGTTTTCCCATCTTCATGGTGCAGAACACAACGAACAGGCTAAATGAAAACGAGACAAAATGAAATACAAAAGTGAGAAGATAATAAAAAGGGATAACGAACTAATAAATATACTGAATAATAACACTAATCGTAGCTATCCTCCTCCTGGCTTTTTCATATACGAAATAAAATCGAATTCATCTTGAGTACTTGCATATTTGACTAATGATCCGTTGCTCAAATACTGTGGAAATGATAAACAATAAATACATTGCAGTTAGGAGTAGAATTGCTTGTGAGTATCTTTGGCGGCCTATTTAAACCTTGCGCAACTAAAACAATTTCAATGGAAAATATACCCATCAAATTCTTCCCTTTTAGTTCATTTTAATATGTTAAATATCTTCTGAACGCATCATGTTCTCCCAGATGTTTTTGAAATGTTTTCGTTTCTCAAGCTAAGAACAAAAGAGAGGAAAAACGTTACACCAGCTGGAAATGGATTTGTAAATGCTCATAAGCGCACCAAATTACTATTCGTGAAAAACTTGTACAAGATTATGAATTTCTGTGCTAGTTAACTCAACTACCACCATCAAAATTACATTCGATTTTTTGTTCATTTCCGATTCAGGACCAGATGCTTATGTAACACCCGCTGCCCATTTCACATTATTACCTCCAATACGGTTACCATTAACACTATTCAAAGGTAATAATTATTTCTTTAAAAAAAATTTCGTACGGGAAGCGAATATCTTAAAATATTCTATGCTGAAAATTCCATACTGTCTTACGCATATTGTTTGGATTAAAGCAAATACTATTATCTACAGGCAAAAACTAACTAGTTGACACAAGAGGCTGAGCAGGACAGCGTAGGAAGACGGGACTTCAAGTGAACGTAGAGAAGACAGAGGTGATGAGGATACCAAACCAACGCCACCGCCACCACCACCACCAACAACAACAAACTCCAATCACCATGAACGGGGGAAACTTAAAGGAAGTAGTCTCTTTCACCTACCTACCTACCTAGGCAGGCAGCACCGTTTCAACTACAGGCGGCACAGGTACAGACGAGGAAGTCAAAGCCAGTCAGGATAGGAAAAGCAACACAGGCTTTCATTAACCTGAAACCAGTGTGGAGATCTACTGCACTCAACATAAAGCGTGAACAACATCCGGTTTTCCAACACCAATTCCGTCAAGTCAGTGCTTCCATATGATGGTTGAGAGACTTGGAGGCGCGTTACGAAAAGCATTTCCAACAAACTACAGACATACATCATCAACAACTGCCTACGCTGGCTCCTTACTGAAGATCAGATGGCCAGGACAATGAGAGTAAGCAACAAGGAACTCTGACCTGCCAACGAACCAACACAACCAGCAATCCATCGCCCAACAAATATGCGGAAGGAAGTGGGAGTGAAGATGGATTCGGCATACACTGAGAAGACCATTCGGGGACATCACGTTCCAGGTACTTGAGTGGAACCCAGATGGGAAGCGGTGAGTTGGGCGTCCGAGGTGAGGGTGATATGGAGGAGATCATGTGAGGAAGAAATGAAAGCTTGTGGGCAGTCGTGGAGCCAGGTTGAAAAGACTGCAGAGAAGAGAGTGCAATGGAGGCGTGCTACTGAACCTTTATGTCCCACTAGGAACCCAAGGGACAAATAATAATAGATATAATAAATAGCATTATAAGTATATTATTGAACAGTTGACAAAAGCCATTAGGTTATTACAGTTCACTAAGAATATGCGTGGTCGCCACGCATATTCCTATAAAATATCAGTTAGAAATTGGAGAATGTGGGTAAAATAAGTTCAAAGACCGTAGAGAGTTAAGTGGTTGAATGTGTTGACCACTCCACTCACCTAGGAAAGTAGGATCAGCCCTGCCATGATGGCTCATTGGCTGAGGAAATCTCTGCACGGATACAAACGGCTCGGTTGGCTTTCGTCGACTTACCCCACCTGTGGCGCCGCCGTGATATCCAATTGTCTACTAAGGGTCGCGTGTACTACATTGCAGTGCGCTCTGCTCTGCTGTATGACTGTGAAACATGGCCATTGAAGGTGGAAAACATGAGAAGGCTACCTTCAGGTGTTTGACCACCATTGCCTTCGTAGTATAGACCGTATTCTGTGGTGTCACCAAGTAAGTAACATAGAATTCAGATGTAGAGTTTTAGGGAGAAGAGGTAAACCAGTTGACGAAGTTGTGAACCTTCATCGATTGAGATGGTTGGGACACGTACCACGTATGCCTAGTCACCGACTGCCTTGTCACATAATGTTGGCCGATGTAGGCCCAGGCTAGAAAAAAGCCTGAGGTGGCCAGACTAAAACATGGCACCAATGTATGAAGTCTCTGACTGATGGTTTGAGCCATGTGGGACGATGCAGACTAGGTGGTTGGGGTCCGCAGGACAAGAGGAATCAGTGGTTGGAGATTCTAGGGGATATCGCTGAGAACCGATGTCAGTGGCGCAGATGTATACACACATTATCATCTTAACGACGCTATTCCGAGTTTCATCACTTTATCATTCTTCGTTTCTCTCTTTTCGTACTTTATATTTCTTTTGACTGCATTCTCTTATCTTCATCTTGCGCTTCACTGCCTTTTACTTGACGTACTGATATGAGGTGTAGCAACTCGTACAGTTACGCAGTAATGCCTGGTCCTAGGTTGATCGGAGATCGGAAAGACTGTAATGGAAGCTACTTATAAAAATCCACATAAGTAGTATATATATATATCGCAAAATAGAGAGTGATAGAGATCAGATTGATGAGAAGTCAAACAAAAGTATACAGAACATTGGGTAGGGACATAAAGCGCTGGAACTGGGCAGTATGATGATATGCAGGACAAGAGATAATTTGCAAATAGATAAATTATACCATTTTGACTACCTGAGATAGCCGTGGTTTAGCACACCAGTACTTATAATGGGTGATGATTGGAGGTGAAGTGAAAATTGGGACAGCAGCCGGATTCAAACCAGTGACCACCGGGTTTCCACCCGATGCTCTACCGACTGAGCTACAACGTTGAGTGGTCGCTGGTTGGAATCCAGGTGCGGTCCAAATTTTCATTTCATCTTTAATCATCACCAAGTATAGACAAATTATTGTTACGTGTAGTAATTCTACTATATTTCTAGTAAAGTCTGAAGTTGTATTTACCAACTAAACAATTTCAATGGCTCCTTGTATTTCTCTTCAAACAACTGGTATGTGAAGTCATTAGGCTATAAAGGTATTGTGTTGATCTGTATCCGAGTTCTATGATCGGTAGACGAAACGGCGAGGGTCATGTGATATAACTCAGAGGTGAACGTTGTGACAAAAGCAAAGCTCTACTTTGTTTATTCAATCATCGTTTAATTTCTCTGTTAGTATTTTGTCATTCTACTTACATAACATAACACAGTGAAACAATATGTAACTGTGCCAAGTTAAGTTGTGGTTTATCACTCATTATGTTGTCGCCGCTCTCCACTATTTGGAATATAAAGGACTAAAATCCAACGCTTAAAACTTAATGAAAAGCTTCGATGAATCTCACTTACTTTACGATGAAAAGATATGAAAACAGAAATATTACATTGTTAAATTCCATGTGAACATCCATCACTTAGCAGATATGTGTTAATTAAGGTCTGGTACTAGTGGAATCTATGACCGAGGACAAATTACGCCATTATTCATTACACGACAACCAGATACTGCAGGAATAACACTATTGGATAAGCTATTTATCCACTCAATAGTTGACTTTAATGTAACTGCCAGTTTTAAACAACATGATCGTGACATCGAATTTATATACTGGGTTTCATAGAAGAATGGAAGCTGAAGAACCATTTTCTCATTCTAATAGACAACTATTAGAACGTGATAAAGTTGTCTTTCTAGAAGAATATAATCAACGAGAGAATGAATGAGGTTGAATTTCTTTTCTCATCATCCACTTTCCATAAGGCTTTTTCAGTGTGTAAGTCATTCCTAAAATCTTTTCCTCTGATCAAAAAATCGACTAATTGCTTTGTTATTGATAGTAGTTATTCTCTTTATCGACTTCGATTGTCTTACATACATATTACAATGTCAGAGATCATGTCGACTGCATTGAAATCATCGAAATAGAAAGGAATGGAGAAATTGATCTTCTTCATGCTAATTTATGATAATCCAGTAAGATTGATAACGGTGATTAGAACACTAGTTATTCTCGATACATGAACTGAAAATGCTTCTGATTGTTAGATGAGATTGCTTTTCATCCGTCAAAAGTGCTGTCGTTGGATTGATATTAGACCTTTAAATATAGGTTGGATCAATTTCAAATATTCTTCTCACGACATTTATCCCCAATTAGTTTGATATTCTTTGTTAGTGCTATAGTGGGTGATACTGATAAGAATGGATATAAGTAGTATATGTCAAGAAATCAGCAGGAACCATAGGTAATTACAAACCATGGGTAAATATTCTGCACAAAGAAACGTAACAAACAATGTGGGTGCACGAAGAGCAAATCAAGATAGAAGATAAAGAGGAAATGAAGCATATTCTCCAAATGACTAGTTTAATGCAGAGTGTACAATATTTCATCACTACTCCACAACATGTCATAATAAACATCATGTCCTACGTCTCATTCTTTCTCGTTTTTTACACTTCTATTTCATTTGATCAATTTGTCTCTCCTTCATCTTCCATTTCATTGCCTTGTTACTTGATGTGCTCATGTGAGGTGTAGCAACTTGGACCGTTACACAGTAATGCCTGCGACTATGCTGATGATGATTATGTCAATAAATAAATCTATTTAACGTTACTGTGATGATTGAAATAAAATGGAATCCAGCACTGTGGGGAAGTGCAGAACTAGGTCAAAACTACTTTTCAATGGCTGTTTAAAACTAATATTGGTTCAAAGATGGGATAATACAAGCAATAACAACATTAAAAATTATACTCGTCGTACAACAAGCGGCTATCGTTACACCATGGTCAAGTGGATTATGCTCTAGCGCTTGAAGCGATCGGTCCCAAGTTTGAGTTCCAGTGGGGACAATATCGCTGATTGGGAGGCAGATACATTCTGCTGATAAGTCACAAGTAGGACGACCACGCAGGTCTTGGATTCCACTGCTACTCACTATCCATCATTAATACATAATGTTAGTTCAGTTTACGAACAATTTTCAAGGTTCATTAGACATCAAATACGACAACTTAGAAAATAATAATAAAGAAAATTAAATGATTTTCATGTTTTTCAAAACATAAGCACTAGTGAGTGACAGATTTGAACACTGCTTAGACTACCCAAGTTTAGGCAGCCAGATGGTATCATTAGCTTGCACACAATAGGTGTGGTTCATTGCTTACTGCATGAATGTGCACAAGGTTGTTGAGTGGATTTCGATTCGATTTCAATGACCTTAGAAGGTTAACTTTCAACCAATAGACTGTAGGATGATCATCGAATTCATGAGTTTGCACAAGATGTATAAGTCAAGATGATGACAACATCACTTTCTTATGAAGTAGTACTGAGAGTGAAGTGTTTGTCAGATAACCAAAATACTTATATTCAGTAGCTTCAGATATTAACCACAAAGTTACACTTTGAAGTGCCAAGGTATCTAATTCACAATTCACTCTATTTAAAAATTCAACAAACAGGCATATTTTTATCATCTCTAATGCTTTGATACACGACTGAACGAAACACTTAGAGCTTAGACTTTTTCCAAAAGATACCACAAACCAAGCCTATCCACATTTGCACAATCAGTAAAAACTATGAAAATTAGGCATTAAAAATTATAATTATTTATTTATTATTTGTCCCTTGGGTTCCTAGTGGGACATAAAGGTTCAGTAGCACGTCTCCATTGCACTCTCTTCTCTGCAGTCTTTTCAACCTGGCTCCACGACTGCCCACAAGCTTTCATTTCTTCCTCACATGATCTCCTCCATATCACCCTCACCTCGGACGCCCAACTCACCGCTTCCCATCTGGGTTCCACTCAAGTACCTGGAACGTGATGTCCCCGAATGGTCTTCTCAGTGTATGCCGAATCCATCTCCACTCCCACTTCCTTCCGCATATTTGTTGGGCGATGGATTGCTGGTTGTGTTGGTTCGTTGGCAGGTCAGAGTTTCTTGTTGCTTACTCTCATTGTTCTGGCCATCTGATCTTCAGTAAGGAGCCAGCGTAGGCAGTTGTTGATGATGTATGTCTGTAGTTTGTTGGAAATGCTTTTCGTAACGCGCCTCCAAGTCTCTCAACCATCATATGGAAGCACTGACTTGACGGAATTGGTGTTGGAAAACCGGATGTTGTTCACGCTTTATGTTGAGTGCAGTAGATCTCCACACTGGTTTCAGGTTAATGAAAGCCTGTGTTGCTTTTCCTATCCTGACTGGCTTTGACTTCCTCGTCTGTACCTGTGCCGCCTGTAGTTGAAACGGTGCTGCCTGCCTAGGTAGGTAGGTAGGTGAAAGAGACTACTTCCTTTAAGTTTCCCCCGTTCATGGTGATTGGAGTTTGTTGTTGTTGGTGGTGGTGGTGGCGGTGGCGTTGGTTTGGTATCCTCATCACCTCTGTCTTCTCTACGTTCACTTGAAGTCCCGTCTTCCTACGCTGCCCTGAGTTGCCTCTTGTGTCAACTTGTTAGTTTTCGCCCGTAGATCTTCAAGTATGTGTGACATTAGACGTAAGTCATGGGCGAAATCCAAATCTTCTAGGTTCTTTTCCGCCCCTCTTCTCGCTCCTCATTGTTTGTTGCATGATCCAGTCCACTACAATCAGGCATATCATGGGTGATAGTAGACAGACTTGTTTCAAAAATATTCTATCTAATATTCTAATAATAACTCACATCACCAATTGTCTTAATATACAACAGTTAGCTTTAAAATCGGAAAGAAAGTAACAACAAACGCTGGATAAATAGGGTTGAAAGTGGGAGGCAAATATGACTTACTTTACCCGGTTGGAGGCCTTTCAAATCCAATAACGAAATTTTATCCGATGGCTTAATTTTATTGTAATCTGATGGATTGGCAAAGGTAAGCGGAAGCATGCCTTGCTTCTTTAAATTTGTTTCTATGCAGAAAAAAAATCAGAAAGAAAGGGAGGAGGTGGAGATTATTTCTTACACCTAGTTGGAACTATATTATCTATCATGTTGTTTCATTATTTAAATGGGTGGGATTAAAGATTTATTGAATCAAGAAGTTATTTTAATCAAAAAAAAAGATGTATATGAAAACAGTGTTGATTACTATATTTGTGTTCTACTCTGGGACTCATGAATGGTGTAGGCTTTCAATATCTTCCAGTATCAGACTCGAATGAAAGTGAAACTCAATAAAAAGGCATGCAGATTCGTTTACTAGACAATAATAAATAAGCAAAGTTACAGTTGTGGTATTATATACGGCTGTACAAGCCTACTTAGGTTAAGTTGAATTCAACTACTCAATACAATAGTTGAAACTCAAGTACACAATTCAATGGAACTACGGTTCAGTAAAAATCAGATCATATTACATACCGAATGCATAAGGGTCAATCAAACATTGAAAAATAACAACTTATCGAGAATGCTGATAATGTGGTTGATTCAATGAAACTTTGAAAAAAAGGACAGTGGACACTACTAAAAATTGCTAAAGTACGAAGAAGCACCTGACTGTTACGATTGACTTCATTTAACATTCGAAGCCATTGTCAACTTCAACTACGTGCCGAAAAAGTCATAAAGTCCATGATTACTGCGTAGTATTATCAGTGACTAAATCGCTCATATGATGAAATTTAATACTTTTAAAGGTTAAAGTGTAAAAAATGAAAATCAAAGCGATAAGTGTAGAATCTGGAGATGTAATTCCCGATTAGATTTCATATGCAGCACACAGTGATACAATATTATTTACTCTATGACGGTTCCACCATAAATTATTGCTCATTATCACATCAACGTAATCACACTACTCTCGACACCTGAGTTTCACAGTCCTGTCACCTCATACTCAGCGATTTCATTCTTAGTAAAAATGTTCACATCTCCGGTGTAGGTGTTACATCACTCCTATAACATGAATTGGGTGTTGGTTGATTCGATGAACAGAGATTCAGTAATCAATCCCCATCTCTCTCTCTCTCTCTTCCTAATTTCATTTGACTGAAGTACAGTGGTCTTACCCCCCACTCTATTGTGTGAGTGTTTTTCTACATTACTGATCCTATTATTATTATTATTATTATTATTCTATATTTAGCTAAACTTCTGTGTTTCGTTGATCCAACTGACCCTGACTAGCTAGTTTGACCTATGTACTTGACTTCATAGTTATTGCATGGAATTTGGTAGATTAGAGTAATTCGGTCAGTTGGATGTATCAGATCCTTCAATCGACAAAGTTTATCTCTGAGTGAATTTGTAGGTTTAAATGCCAACCTAATTCCAACCTTGTTCAGAATCCTACCTACAGTGTCTGATGTTCCTTCCTTATATTGTAATACTATGGAGGCTTTACTAAAATACCAATCAATATGGAAAAGGAGGCAATCAGAAGTCAACTAAATGTCGGCTCAGAACTTACTCATAGAACTAAGGTGTTAGTTTATGAAGTCATAATAGACGTACATTTGTGTCTGACCTCCACAGTCGTCAAGTTTCAGAACAAAATATACAGACAAACAGAAGCGGTAGCGATGGGATTTCCAATATTCCCAGTCGTAGTAGATATATTTAGGGATAGTTAGGACGACATAGCTTTACGAATGTATAATCCTGCAACTAAGATATGGTAATGATATGTGGATGGCACACTCAATGTGCTGAAAACGGAATATATTGACAGTTTTCTCACACAAACTCATTAGTAGACGCAATCCAATTCACTTACAAGGTAGGAAATGAACAAGGAGAATTACCTAAGTTGGATTGCAGGATAAAACGAAGGACAGACGGTGCTTTGAATACTACCGTCTACAGGAAACCAACACATTCTAAAATGTATCTACACTTCAGGTCATCCCATCCAATGTCAGTTAAGGCAGGTTTAGTCAAGTGTCTGAACGATAGAGTTAAAAATCTCCCCAGTCATTGTATGGACTTACGTAATGTATTGAAACACATAAAAGAAGTGTTAATAATTAATAATTATCCTCTACAGTTTATTAATAATCTTGTACGAACACGCAAGAAACAAAATGATAACAGTAATACAAATACGAATAACAAGGATAACACCAGTAGAAATAAGTTCTGTCTCCGTTTCACTACCATATAAGGAAGGAACATCAGACACTGTAGGTAGGATTCTGAACAAGGTTGAAATTAGGTTGGCATTTAAACCTACAAATTCACTCAGAGATAAACTTTGTCGATTGAAGGATCTGATACATCCAACTGACCGAATTACTCTAATCTACCAAATTCCATGCAATAACTATGAAGTCAAGTACATAGGTCAAACTAGCTAGTCAGGGTCAGTTGGATCAACGAAACACAGAAGTTTAGCTAAATATAGAATAATAATAATAATAATAATAATAGGATCAGTAATGTAGAAAAACACTCACACAATAGAGTGGGGGGTAAGACCACTGTACTTCAGTCAAATGAAATTAGGAAGAGAGAGAGAGAGAGATGGGGATTGATTACTGAATCTCTGTTCATCGAATCAACCAACACCCAATTCATGTTATAGGAGTGATGTAACACCTACACCGGAGATGTGAACATTTTTACTAAGAATGAAATCGCTGAGTATGAGGTGACAGGACTGTGAAACTCAGGTGTCGAGAGTAGTGTGATTACGTTGATGTGATAATGAGCAATAATTTATGGTGGAACCGTCATCAAGTAAATAACACTGTATCACTCTTTGTGATGCATATGAACTAAACAAATCTAATACAGAGGACCAAAGCTACTTGATATGATATATCATAGACTTAGAGGACAGGCAGTAGTGTGCATCGCCAAGTAACTTCAAGCTGATATTTCTTCTTAACCAGAAATTGCTATCACCAAATAGCCTACTAATGAGTAGTTTATTTAATGTTTCATATATGTTTTGCATTAGTTTTTCGGATTTCATTTGTCAAGCATGCTAAAAACAAAATGGAAGGCGAAATTGAGACAGTTTCGTAGAGTCTTACTTGACAGTTCAGCTGTTTAAGTGTGATTCATTGCAAGGATTTTTAATCCTAAATAATATCTATGTAATGACCTCAGGATGTGATACATTCTTAGATAAATATTCTTCTTCAGATGAGTAGTTTTCTGAAGAGTCTACTTTTATGCTGAGAGATAGCTAAGCTAATTTACAGTAAGTCAGTTATATCGGTCATCTAAAAGGAACAACAGTCGAAGTAAAACATATCTGATGGTTGGTTCAAGCCATGTTAAGTGTAGGCTGTTTCGTTGGAGACCAAAAAAGCGATAAGAATCACTAGTTGTGAATTCTGAGTGATATCACTTTAAACCAGTGATAACAGCGCTGACATATAAACTTTTAGACTTTCGAAATTCCGTTAACCCCCTCTACTCAAATACCTTCGTCTACTTCAACATCATTCTTTCTTAATCTACTTTCGCTCTGTCTGGTGTTTACTAGTGCGACTACTTGAACAGATACACTTTTACACCAGGTTGTTTTTCTAGTCGATTTGCCTTTTTTTAATTTCGAAGAGAGAGAAAACCTAAGAATAATAATGAGTACATTTTAAAATTATCCCATGTAAAAAATGCTTCAGGAGTCATTGACCACACTAATTACTTGAGCATTTGAACTACACTTAGCGATTTCATCAATGAAACAGACTAACTCAATAAGGATTTGCTGAATTATATAAAATGTTGAGGAAACGAGTTATTATTGTAAAGGAATGGGTTGTTGCTCTGTGACAGGTTCTATGTTAGTTCAGTTAGTTGTGACCAACATCTTACAATGAAGACAAAAATACAAAGTGGTAACAACTGGTCAAATATAAAAGTTATTAAACTTTAGTATTTCTGCATGATAAAAACACTCTAGGTGAGAAAATAATGAATAGAAAACTAACCATGTATACGTGCAAAGCTTTTCACAATAATTGCACGACCACCCAAATGTCTAGGTTCTAATGCGGCATGTTCTCGACTACTTCCTTCACCATAGTTCTCATCACCAACAACACACCAGTATATACCATCAGCTTTATATTTTCTAGCTACAGCTGGAACAGCATCCCATTGACCGGAAGTACGATGTAGAACTTTATTTATTTCACCATTCTCTTCGTTAACAGCTCTAAACAATCAGAAACAAATAAGTTACAAAGCCAACTTAATCCGGTGAAGATATTTAAATATTGGTAATATGAACTAAGCTATGCGACTGTGGAGGTCGAAGTAGGTGGACAGTGATTTGAACCCAAAACTCTGTACTAAAATCGAATGCTTACAACAATGAACATCTTCACAAGATAATCAGAAATAAGAATTTCTCACACTGAATTCAGTAAAATATATTTGTCACATTAAAGATTTATCTAATTAATAAAGTTATCAAGTCATTTAGGCACTTGTTCCAACTGAGTGTTTGTCTAGCAAGCTGGATGGTTGGCGAAGTTGGAAATATGGACCATTGGATGCCGACCCAGTGGCTCTATGGTAACGTGCTGGCCATGGGACCTAGGGGTCACGGGGTCGATCCCTCGCGGGGTCATGGGTGGACACTGCTGAAGAGTCCCATAGTAGGACGAAACAGCTATCCAGTACTCCCAGATTTCCAATGTTCCTCCAACTGATTTCAGTTCATGATGAAGACAACTTAAAGAATATTATTACGACACTAAGTTACATTCTATCGATGCAACTTCATTCATGATGATATCCGATCTGGTATGGTTTGGGGTCAGAGGTTTTAGGTTTCTAACATTTAGTTCATAGAATACCAATATTTGAACGAATAGTTTACACTCTAAGCTGCAATTATTCACATAAGCTTAAGTCAATAGTTTCGTAAAAAGGTCATTCATTCATATATGGAAAGAAAAATATTTGCGCACAATTTTCCGAACAATAAAAACCGTACACAACTTAATTGTAGTGTTGATATATATATATATATATATATATATATATATATATATATATATATATATATATATATAACTACCGAATGACTTAGAATGCACGCACCAAATCACACCCTATGACCACTGAATCAATTGGATTAATAAGCTAATATTGAGAGTAATGCTAACCTAGATCAAGGCACCTTTGTGTGTTTTAACGAAAGCCATAGCAACTACACTATTCGAGTATACTTTAGAGTGTAAGGGACTGTGTCAGAGTGAAACATGTGTGCTGTTTCCATCACCGGCGGCAATCTTCTTTAACGAATGGATACAACTCTATAAGACATAATCTTCCTTAAAAGGCAGTTATCCGCCTAAAGTAGATATTTTTAGTTGAATTTGGGGATTTAGTGGTTTTTCAAATCGGTATTCATCATGGACTGACGTCAGTTGGAGGAACATCGGAAATCTGGAAGCACTGGATGGCTGTCTCATCCTAGTGTGGGGCTCCTCAGCAGTGCACACCTATGACCCCACCTCACCAGGGATCGAACCCAGGACCTTCAGGTTCTGTGGCAAGTACGTTACCATTGAGCAACTAAGTCGGCATCCAATGGTCTATATTTCCAACTTCTATCAGTTCACAACAAAGCGCGACATTTTTAGACTTTGTGATCATTCAGAACTGATTCTTTTTCTTTTTAAACAAATTCAAGAGGGTGAACTACTTTGCTATAAGCCAATCGAGAATTATCAATTACCCGAATGCTTCCAGAGACATCTGATTATTGCTAATTCATTTCACCTTTGGAGGGAGTTGTGAAGATTTGGAAATATTTCAAGTTGTTATTCATCGTAAACTGACATCAGTTCAAGGAACAAAGGAAACCTGGAGCACCGGACAGCTGTTTCGCCTTAGTATGGGACTCCTCAGCAGTGCGCACCCACGACCCCGCCAGGGATTGAACCCGCGACCTTTAGATTCCGCGGCCAGCGCGTTACCATTGTTCCTCCAACTGATGTCAGTTTACGATGAATAACAACTTGAATCATTTCACCTTTGTCTACATTACCTCTCCATCTTACCAATATTATGTCCCCCACATTTACCCCAACTACCTAGCCTACTAAAGATTCAAATCAATGGGACATTTTTTGTTATCTAAAACAATACCATCAACTTCAGGTTGGAGGTTTCTCATGTACAAAATGAAAGCTAATTCAAAGAATAGGCCTCATTAGCCTAACATAATGGGATATGAATATAAGCTGTGTTTCTGAGACGTTCACATACAGAAAGCAAATGAACTTAACTTCATCTAACCAGTGTGGTGAATCAATACAATACACCCTACGGAGTTCCGGAGATTCAACAGGCTTACCGATGCAAAAATACCATTAAGAATTTTAGTGCAGAAAATGCATTTTTGGCTGAATCGCAGTTTAAATTCACATAATATGCCATCCAGCTAACATATCTATAAGTACTGGGATGGAAAATAACAGACTGCATTTCCTAACAAAGCTTAAAAGATATTACATAAATATAGAGACACCACATTTGAACTACACTATAGTTACAATTGTACAGTATGTGCAATCAATTACTTGTCAGTAATGATGTAAATACTTAGTTGGCAGATAGATATGTTGATCCAAACCTCTATAACAGTCATTAAGAAAGACGACAAATAAACAAAGATATAAAAAAAATATCGGAAATCGTCAAAAGTTACGGAAAAAAAGAGAGTAGAAGACATGATATTATGATTAAGAAGATAGGTTATATATAAATGCATCAGTTCCCTTGAGATAGATAAATGGACAGCAGTAAATACGACTACTTATCAACTGGTGAATCCCATTTATTGTGATAGACAAAATCAATGTAGAACCTTGCACATATGTCCAACGGTTCAAGTTGCTACACTTTATAGTAGTATAAAAGGAACAGGTGGATAGAACAAGAGTAATTTCAAAGTAGACAAAGTTGTGTGCGAGAATAAGCAATTTGAAGATAAAGGTTAGTGCAAATAGTTAAGCTTTAGAAGACGTCAAAGAGTGAATACATCTGTGCCATTGTCAGCGATTTTCAGGCATGTCAACCACTGATTCCTATTGTCTCGGGGATCCCAGACAGGTAGTCTACATCTCCCAACATGGCTCAGACCAACTGTCAAGGGCTTCATGCACTGGTGCCAGTCTTGGTCTAACCACATTGAACCTTCTTGCAACCTAGTCAAACTGACCCAAGCAAGACACACCAAGGTAGATGGTGGAGAGGCATGAGCAACACATCTCCAAGCAGTCTCAGTCAATGAAGGTTCGCAACCTCATCAATCGACTTGCCTATCATGCCCAGCAGCCTGACCTCAACATTACTCAAACGGTGATTCCACCAAACGCGAGCAATCCTACAAAGACACCTGTGATTAAAACCCCGTCATCACTTTATGTCTTGTGCTTTTAACGGCCAAGTCTCACAGCCGTACAACAGAATCGAAATGCAGTAAACTCGTCTTTTGATAAATATTCGGATATCTCGCCAGTCGGTGCCAGAGATGATACAGGTTGTCGAATACCGAGTGGGTCTCCTGTATACAAGCTGAGATAACTAGGTGAGGAAGAAAAATTAGCTGATATGTTTTGCATGCCGAACCACCAACTAATCCAATGCACCATATTGGCAGAAGTGTAATTAAAACGAAAGTTAGTAGTGGCCAAGTCAGGATATGGTACTAAACAATCAAGTTTCTGACTATTGTTCTGAGCCAAGAATAACAGAAGAGTAGGTTATCTGGTAGGAGATCTCAAGACAACAGGAATCGATGGTTGTGAACCCATATGCTAAATTATAGAAATCTGTCGTTAAGAAATCCTCTGTTATACGACTAAAAGTAGGTCACGACATCGCATTTGCATACATCAGAAATGATCACAAGCAAAATAAAATGTCATTTTCATTTCTTTAAGAAAAAAAAGTTGAAGTGAATGCAGAAGAATAATCAAAATAGCAAAGGCTTCAATAAGATATTACATAAGATATTTGGAAAACTAAAAGTAAGCAGAAACTGTAAAATGGGGGCAGGAATGCATAGATAACGTAAAAATTGAAATTGTGAAATGACAATAGATTCAACAAGTTCTTTTTTTAAATCTAGAGAACATATGATGTTATGGAGGCAGACTTCTGTTTTTACTACCTATAGCATTGAATGAAAAGTCCCAAGAAGTGGTCGGTATTGATTTAGCACAGTAGTCAACGTTTACCTATTTGGAACTACATGGGATAGTAAGAGCATAATTCTATACTAGATTGTTTGTTTGATATGGAACCGAGTTTATTGCTTAGATTCATAATAAAGGACTTTCAAACTTCATTTTAATGCAGTACAAAAGTTCTTTATTCTTTCATTTTAGTGGTAGTATAAGATTTCAAATATCTCCACTGAGTGACGAATCATTTATGTTACACGTGTTAGGTGTTGTGCTTCAACGAACAGAATCCCATAGGATAGTGTTTCAAACCTTTCTGTACAAAATCTTATATCCCGATGTAGGGAATTATGACAGCTATCTGTACAAAAGAGACTTGTCTATCCTATTGTTTTCACTTTTATGCTCTTGACATTCTATTTTCAAAAACATTTATTGGTACGAACAGTGGGAAAAACACTTGTATAACTCAAAAAACACTCCTGCTGCTAACGAATGAGTCAGATATCATGATCTGTTGTAGCATAATTACCACATTTTATGATGGATGCTACTTAGATTCCGTCATGGCTACCTAGAGGATTTCAATTCATGATTGAAACCACTCGGGAGCAACAATCATAACCATGTGTGAGGGTGATGGTAGGTTGACAAGTTTAGTGATACGAACTCGTGAATCAATGAATTAAGCAAGCAGTTCGAATCAAATCTAAATCTAATCAGCAACTACACACACTTTCGTACAATAGACAATGACCCACATCTATTGTCAGTAGGCCAATGATACCATTTAGCTGAACAGACCTTGGTAGGTGGAGTGGGTTTCGTACCGGTGAACCTATCGGTTGAAAATCAAGTGTCTTGACCAATGAACCAAGGCAATCTGTTAAAGACAAATATACAATCACAATCATGAAACTTTTGTGCATTGCTGGGGATCAATTTGTTATCAATATATTCGGTAATGAATATTTAAGCACAATCATCAGTTTTCAGTTCTGGTATTATTTGGAGCAAAACGACTCCCTGTTATCAAACTAAACGTTGGAATTATTCAAGTGATCACCTATACAATTTCAATTATTTAGTCAAATAGTGCATATTACTAAGGAAAAGTATACTTGAAATTTAATGTTCAAAATAATTTATGCGAAGAAAGACAATACTGAACGAAATAAGAGGTTAAATTGTCATTGATTTTTACTATCAGCAACACATTCACCAGTGACATTAAAGTGCTCTTAATTCTGGATCACTATATCAGTGATTAAAAATCGAACTTATCACAGTTGGCTACAGTAATAATCAGTCCAGTCAGTACTTTAAATGCTTTACATTTATCATCTGAAGGAACTTGATTGTTGACATAAGATGTGAGTACGATTGACACTTCCTGGCTACTCATACCATGGAAGGTTAGTCCTTCTTGAGGCACCTAAAAAAGAAGGGTCAGTGCATACTGCAGAGCCCAAGGAACGTCTGCTTAAAACCTGCAATGCTTCCCATTGCTACTGATTTCAACTACATGACATTGATGGACAGTAGACAATATTCAAATCATTTTGAGTTGGTCCAGGAAATGTGTATAACATTGTGAGGTTAGTGTGACAATTATGCGTTAGAAAAACAGTAAGTTGTCGAAAGAAAGAATCAGATGGTAAGTTTTCATCGAAATCTCACCCAATAAATAAGTTATTTGATATATTATCCAAGTGACCTCTATATTTTAACCATTGACCAGCAGCTGAAATATGATCAGTTGTACATTTTCCCTTGATTTTAATCAATATCGGCATATTTAATAAATCTTTACCATCCCATTTGTTGAATGGAGTAAGAAGTTGTAATCGTTGACTTGATGGATCAACTTTCACCATGATTTGAGAAGTATCTGTTGGTGGTTGTTGGTAGGTGTCTTGCCCGGGATCAAAGCCTTTCTTAGGCAATGTATCACCTACATAGAACAAAAGGTATGAAAATTGTCATGATGTATAATGAAACTGATTACAATATTATATATATAAGAAATATACGTTACAGACTGTTGTCTAAGCTGATTGCTAAATATTATTCAAAGTTAAAATATAATCTGGTATGCAACAGATCTGGAGGTTTGTGGAGATTTATTAATTGATTTTAAGTTGGAATTCATCAAGAACTAACATCAGTTGGAGGAATATTGGAAACGTGGGAGCAAAAGACTGGTATGCAGGAAAGAATGTTCATTGTCAACAAGTGGGACAGTAGTCGTTAAATGTGGTAAACCTTGCACTAAAAGCGTCATTTGCAAAATATGCTTCATTTCCCCTCCAGCTTCTATCTTGATTTGCTCTTCATACGCCTGCCTTGTTTCTTGTGTTTCTCTTGGCGGAATTCTAATCCACTGCTGGTAAATCCCTATGATTTCTGCAACCCTCTCGACATACACCACTTATATCCATTCTTATCAGCAACGCCCACTATGCTAGCACGGGACTCCTCAGCCCCTACGACCCAACCCCGCCGGGGATCGAGCCCAGAACTTTCAGGTTCCGTGGCCACCACGTTACTACTGGGTCACGGGGTCTGAATCCCTAACGAGGTCATGGGTTTTCACCGCTGAGGAGTCCCATACAAGGACGAAACAGCTGTCCAGTGCTCCCAGGTTTTCAATGTTCCTCTAAATGATGTCAGTCCACAATGAATTCCAAACTAAAATCAATTAGTAGGAACTAAATATAAAACACTCTTTTGATCACACTTTGGTGGATTTGAATGATTAAAAATTGGCAACAGTTCATAAGGTTAAACCACACACACATCTCTTTGATAATTTCAACAATGAACATGAATTTTAAGACAGATCAGGTTAAAAACTACAGACAAGTTTGTATATCGTATAATTTTTTCTATATCATACCGTCGTTGATTGGACCGAATTGATCGGTCCCTATTGGGATATAGGATCCTGTGCGGACGCCTCGATATTACCGGTGCTCTAATGGTAGTAATGAAGGATAGTGGCTAGCAGTGGAATCCAGGATGCGCATTTTGTCGTATTTGGGACTCGTCAGCTGGATGTACCTGCTTCCCAGTGAGTGATGTTGTTCCCATCGGGATTCGGACTCGGGAGTGATAGCTTAACAGGATCCCATATACCAACAGAGACCTATCAATTCGGTCCAATCAACGACGGTATGATATAAAAACAATTATACTAAAAACTATACCCCTCGGACAAGAAGTGGCTGCCGTGACTCGGTGGTTTAGTGGATTGCGCTCTGGCGTTTGAAGCGACCACTCCCGAGTCCGAATCCCGATGGGAACAACATCACTCACCGGGAAACAGATACATACAGCTGACGAGTCCCAGATACGACAAAATGCACATCCTGGATCCTACTGCTAGCCACTACCCATCATTACTAAGTTTGTATATGTTGTGATTCGAAAACTGCTATGGTCGCTAACGATGCACGGATATCGATTGTCAGCCAGTAACATTCAACAAATGCCTAGTTGATTTCCGATCCGACTAATTTAGGGAGAAAACACGACGGACGTGTAGTAACGTGTTTTGGGGTCGAAAGACCGAAGACAAGAACAAAGGAAAATATATCCAACATAGATAGTTCGCCGTTTAAAGTGATACTATTGGTTGGCTGACCCATCGTCTGTCTGTCTATCTGCCTGTAGGCGTGACAACGTAAAATACATTTTGATTGGTCCCTCTCCAGAATAGTCTTTTCTCCTATCCCCATATCAGTACAGTAAACCGACATACCCTACCGTGTGAAAATAAAGATGATAATGGAGTTCTGTAATTAATCGGTTATTGAAGTTTGAAATATTATTATCGTTTCACCAAATGAATACTAAGAAAGTTGGTATTCATGATGGACTGACATTGGTTGGAGGAACATTGAAAACCTGGAATCACCGGACAGCTGCTTTATCCCAGTATGCAACTCCTTAGCAGTGTGCACCCATGACCCCAACAGTGATCGAGCCCAGGACTTTCAAGTTTCGTGGCCAGCACGTTACCATTGAGCTGTCCACTCCTCCCAGGTTTCCAATGTTTCTCCAACTGATGTCAGTCGATGACAAATACCAACTTGAAATCAATAAATCCACACACCCCCAAATTGAATATTGAGAAACACAAAACTCTAACTACATGGAAAAATAGGCAACGGTGTTGGACTATCATTGTCATCATAGCACTGGTTGTGTGTTGTTGAACCGCCCCATAAACAGTACAACGTTTAGGCGCAGGGTGAAAAAGTTAGTTAGTTGAGGTGGCTGGGTCATGGTGTTACGCATATTTCGTCATCATCTGTCTAGACGCAAAGTGTTAGCTAAAGAATAGTTGGTTTGGTCAAAAAAAAGAAGGGTGATCATACCAAAAGGTGACATTAATCCATGAAGTCTCTGGTTGTTTGTCTCATCGGTATAGAAAGTAATGTAGGCTTCCAGGTTGAGATAATCAAAACCGGATAATTGGATATTCTAGGTGATATGACTCAGAGTTCATTACAATGGTACCGATGCACTCTGATAGTATATCTTTATCCCAACTCTTATAGTACAATTTGTCACTTGCTTTACCCATTCCCTTGTTATCCCTCTTCAAATAGCCTCCAATGACTTTCGATTAAACTTATTCAATTATCCTGTCTTTCATTTCGTTACTTTGTCTCTTGATGGGTTGATGCCAGATGTTGTCTCTTAGACAGTTAGGCAGTAACGCCAATTCTCATGCTGATACTGAGTGGCAGGAATGACTTGGAAGTCACCTAATACGCTTATAGATAAACTGAATTGAAGCTGAACAGTATAAACCATTTATAAACATGTGACTACAGTTGAACCGCTTCATTCCTTCTGTGATCTTGTCCTGACGAGGATGTCTAACTAGATAGTGAGATACAATGACACAATAGAAATTTCATATTAGTTAGTACATTGATGTGATAGAAAGGTTACATTAAACGCATCATTCTGTATACGTTTGATATCCGACACTTATAATGCAAAGAAAAGTAATCAAGGTAAGCGTCACGTGTAAGCGAAGTTGGTTAATTTTCTGGAATTGATTTGAATTCGCATTCTAACAACTATGACTTTATCCATTTTAGGCTTCTCGTAACTTGATTTCGCCCTATTAGCTATTCCGAAACATCTCTTGATAACAAAACACGTTTTGTAAAACAGTAAATGAGTATCAACCTGAAATCAGCGAAAAAATCCTGACAAACCTCCAAACTGAATTACTGTCTACTGGTTGTTAGTGATTTTCTTCGAGATGCGATTCCCGAAGAAGTTATGATCAGTGGGGCAAAATGCGTCGGATGTAAGGACAGTTACCCAACGACGCCATCGGATAGAGGTCACGCTTGATCCTGAACTGACAGAAGTAAGGAATGTGGATCATTGGATCGGGACCCAGTGGCTTAATGAAAGCGCACCAGCCGCGAAACTTGTAGGTCCTGGGTTTGATTCCTGGCGATATGATGGGTGCGCATTGCCGAGGAATCCCACACTAGGACGAAACAGCTGTCTAGTGTTCCCAAGTCCCTAATGGTTCTCTATCTGATGTCAGTCCATGATGTAATACCGACATGAAGTCAATAAAGAAATAATAAAAACATCACCATGATGAACATTTGATATACATCTCTTGATGTAAATGACAATACATCATCGCTAGTCCTGAGTGCCTTTATCATGTTTCCAACATTACTATAGATGACGAAAGATGCTCCCGTCTACAGTAAAAATGCTCTCAAAATCAATCTTCGCTTAAATTTCAGCTTGTTCTTTAAAAAATGTGTATTTTTCACATCAGCTTCTAGGTGCATCATACAGTTGAATCAGTTGGTATGTGCAGGAGAAAGCAATTAAATATGACCATGTAAACTTGTTATTAGTAATGAATTATTATTAAATTGATGATAAAAACTCGAGTCATAAGAACTGTTATTCCGGCGAAGTGTTACTATTTTACTATAATCCCTTTTACCTTATCTAGACTACTGACATGATTTCATTAATACGATTAAAATCCTACAGAAGAGGCATGAGAGAAGTCGGCGTACCGAACACATGCGATATTATGCAGATTTATGTTCGTAATTTCATTGGTTATTTTTTAAGTAAAAAAGCCTACACATTGGTAGGTTGAAATCAGTAAGTCAAGAAGAATACCTAGAAAGTATTATAAACAGTGGTTACAATGGTGAGGGTGAACGAGGGGAAACATGTATGGGGTGTGGTTGAGTCAGTTTATTAATTTGAAAAGATAAGTGAATTAAGCGAACAGCTTAGTTGATGTCCACTAGAAACGACAAAAACTCAACAGCATACATTTTGCTATAATGCAAACTAGTGTTATCAAGCTTTGGGAAATAAAATGTCATCTATGTTTGTTGTTTGGTATGATGATTTTGGATCTTTTTTGAAAAGTGACAGTGATTGAGAGCAAATGAGAAGTTTCAGAGTAAAATACTCAATAACTGCAATCCATTACTTGACTGAGTTTTAGTGGCTGTTACTGTAATATTCACTTGGGACAAAGAACGCCGCACTGAACATATCAGAAATGTTATTCTACTGACTTTGGACTAAAGATACAAGTTTCTTCCTACTTAGGATTCTTCAGTTGAAGGTATTTACATACCAGTGATGAATGATGTCCACGTCGAGACTCGAACCTTGCGTATAATACTTCCAAAGCTATAACTTTATTAACTAAACTAGGGAGTTGCAAGAATCATCTTTTGCACACCGGGTATTACTTGTTACTTGTCTATTCTTGTAATTTCTTACTACATTTTCTGGGTCTAATTAATCAGTATCACTGAGATGCAGATGGATTTAGGTGAAGAGTTCCAATAAGGAGAAACACGCATCCCGGATTTCGCTGCCAGCTATTATTAAATCTATATCAAAATGTAATAAAAGATAATATCGAAACATCCGTTCAATGAGGTCAAACGAGAACAAAGATTGATCAACGGAAATTTAAAGTAGGCACAGATCATATGACGAAATGTTTACGGTTGTTGAACTATCTTGTTCGATTCGTAAATACTTTAAAGTGTAATTTGAACTTTACTATCATAGTAAAAAGCCTCTAGAAGTAACTAATACTCGAAAAATACTTACACTAATGAAAGTTAGGCAAAACTTAGTCTCATTCATAAGGTCATACTGTGAATATATTATAAGAAGGCATGGACGTTTATAATCAGGTTTGTAAACTCATAGGTGCTTGGACTTACAAAAATAAATAATCATTGTTATTACCAAAACCCTTTTAAATTGATTTATTAGATTTATCACACCTTACCCACCAACGATGCTGCCTACAATCATCGACCATCTTCCTGACTGTGGTGGACTGGATCACGTAAAAGACAACTGTGAGGAGCGAGAAGATGGGTATACGCTGGCTGGACCGATGAAAAGACTCTAGAAGGTTTAGATTTCGCCAATGATGATTTATGTCTGTCTTGTGGCACAAAATCGAAGATCTACAGGTGAAAACTAACAAGTTGACAGAAAAGGCAAGGCAGCGAAAACGGGACTTCAAGTGAATGTAGAGAAGACAGAGGTGATGAAGATAACCAACCAACAACAGCATCAAAAACAAGCACCAATCACCATTAACGGGAGAAATCTAAAGGAAGTTGTATCTTTGACCTACCTACCTAGGGATGCAGCATCGTTTCAACACTCAACTACACAAGATGCGACAGGGTGAAAATCCTTAAAACTTACATAAGCAGAGGGAGAGATTGATAACTGATTCTCTTTATACTGGGTGATGATTGAAGGTGAAATGAAAATCTGGAGTGCGGCGGGATTCGAACCAACGGCCATCGGGTTTCCGTACCGGTACTTTACCAACTAAGCACGGGATTGGAAACCCTATGGTCGCTAGTTCGCAAAACCACAGCTATCTCAGATAGTCAAAATGATGACTAAATCTTTTTTTATCGAGTCAACACCTAATACATGCAACAGGAATGACTCAGCACCTGTTCCGGATATATGGAAAATCCTACAACCCATATCATAAAGGGTCGACGAAATCAAGACTATATAAAAGATGTTTCAAAGTTGTGCAGTTATCTTGATATGACTATGGATAATAAATGATGTCCGGAACGTAATCCAGTAAACAATACTGTTCCACTATGTGATAAATCTAATAAATCAACTAAAAATGGAATTACATCCTACCATAGTTCATAAGTTTTACTCTTATATTAATTATTATAACCTACCTGTCGGTGGTTTAAGCTTAAATTTTGAACCATCAGCTGCAACTAATTCATCCTTCAAAGGATTAAATGATAAACTTCCACCCAGTGCTAAAGCTGTTACCATTTCAGGGGATGTAACAAAAGCATGCGTAGCTGGATTTGCATCATTACGACCAGTGAAATTACGATTGTAAGATGAGACAATTGTATTCTTATCACCTTTTTTTGTATCCTAAACAATGCAGTACAATGGATAGAATATACACAGTTGCAAAGTGGATAAATAATATGAAAATAAAATGTATGCGCAGTTTGTAAATAATTTTTATAGACTGGTCACTCATTATGAGGGATGCCAGTCGATCCAAGTCAGTTAGCCAAATTCGGTTGATCTGAACAATTTAATTTCTTTTTGAGCTAAATCTGTAGATCACTGTGAGCAAGTATTTAATCCTGATCAAAGCGCTTTACTCGAAATCACGTATAAGGGCTAATAGAAAGTTACTTTGGGAGCTGATGACAACCATTGGTGTCCACCAGGGATGTTTAACATCACCGTTCCTGCTATAATTTGTTGTAGACATGCTAGTGGGCATAGCCGTAGATTTTTCTGACTTTTCATGGGTCGACTTACACACCCAGAGGAGCACCCCATTGACTTAGAATACACAGACCATATCCTCCTGCTAAGCGAAAACGCTAACAAATTGCAGTCTTCCAAACGCCTTGAGCAGTAATCCGGGTGTTCGGTATGTATTTTGCATTTGTCAGTTGTAAAAAGACGCTTGTGGACTGGTGTCAACCAATTTCTACTTTAAGAATAGGAGATGAAATAGGAAAATGTACTGACCACTTCATTTACTTGGGGAATCACAGCAAGTCAAATGGCAGAGTTCCGAAGGGAATCTCAGCTCAGATACAAAAGGTTCATTTGATCTTGGCCAAACTGCATCACCACTAACACCGGGTAGATATCCTAATACCTACTGAAGGACGAGGTAACTACGCTAAATTTAGCTGTCCTTCTATACAGCTGTGAGGCATGGCAGTTGAAAGTAGAAGATATGTAGGGATTCCAGGTTCCTGGCTACCATGTGACCAATGTGATCAATGTGACTATGTGAGCAATGTTAGAGCCAAGTACAGAACACTAAGCTAGGAAGGTAAGTTAGTAGGTGAAGTTACGAACTTTAGCGACTGAGGTGGTTTTGATTTGTTTCGCATGTCGACTCACTGTTGTGACCGAGTGGTGGGGTTGGGCGCGTGGGTGTAATGATACTGAGACTCAATAGACACCTCAACCGAATACCTTTACGACTGACCTCCCTCAGTACCTTCTGCTTCACTGAGCCGCGGAGAAATCAGAAGACAAAGACGGCCTGTGACTGCAAGAACAGCGACAACTTTTATTAGGCAAATACATGACATATATGTATTTACAAAACTCTCAGAAAGTGAAGTCATAAATGAACCAATCCGACTTCTTGTATGAGCTCGAACTTCTCCAATCAGGTTCTCATGTCAGGGCATGCATAAATTACGACCTGAACATGATCTGATCATGACTTGAAAACAACTCCCCTATTAGCTGCCTTTCGTCGCTACGTATCACCCACCACCTACCTTGACATGCAATGCAAGCTTAAGTAGGATTAGGCTAGAAGAAGGCTAAGGGTGACCAGACTAAACTGTGGAAGCACTGCATAAAGCTTTGGCTATTTGTTTGAGCCATGTAGGGAGACGTAGACTACCTGGTTGGCGGCTAGAAGATAATAAGAATTAGTGGTCCCAAACTCCTGGTGGGAAGACTGTAAATCGGTCACAATAGCGAAGATGTAAATATGCTTTATTGTCCTCAAAGTTTTGCATTGCTTTATCAACCTTCATTTATTTATCCTCTCAAAATTTCGTACACTTTTGTCAACCTCAATATCACTTTTTCGACCCATCTCTGCTATGTATACTGTTGTAAAGTATGGGAACTTGAACTAATCCACTCTTGCATCAAGTTCTACGTTGATTTATCTATCCGTCTGGACATAACTCAGTCAACAGGTTGGATTTTATTTTATATCAGCCATGTTATTTGACTACTGATTTTCCCTTATATAGACTCTTTCCACCAAGGTAAGGTAATAGTCCTTTACCTTGTAGTTAGGTGTGCAACCTTGGTTTAATCAGTAATGTGTGTCAATTCAGGGAGTAATTCTAAATTCATGAAACATTTCCGACTTCTTCAGTCGACAACAGATGACAAGCATATGTGTTGATTTACTTCATTTACGCTAAATTTCATAGTTAACCTACAAGTTTCGCAATCTTCCAAAAAATGTTTTTCCTGAACTACAAATTTCTTCTGTCACATAAATACTGACAAATATTAACAGTGACACCACAAGAAGAACACATTAAACAAGTGGATTCAATGCACCAATAACAATAAGCAAGTCTAGGAATAAGTTGATACAAGTTTAACTTACTTTTCTAGACCACTGACCAATACATGGACCACATGCATTAGCCAATACTACACCGCCGATGGATTGAAAAACTTGAGTTATACCATCACGTTCAATAGTTGCTCTTATCTGTTCACTACCAGGTGTTATGAAGAATTGTGATTTTACTTTAACACCTTTCTCTAACGCTTGACGTGCCAAACTGGCAGCACGTGCCATATCTTCATAAGATGAATTTGTGCACGAACCAATAAGACTTGCACTGATATTCTGTGGCCAGCCTTCTTTAGCTAAACGACTGGACAACTATTAATGATAACAAATATAAATAAATGATAAGATTTCAATAATACTAGACATATAAGTATTAAGAAAGCACTCATAGGAATGTTCAATGTGATTGCGTAAGAAACACCAATGAACGAAATAAGTTACCACATATTATCTGGTTGGGGGCAATCAACAGAAAGTTCTAAACTCAGGTTTCGTGCTTGCTGACACAGATCTAAAGCCATATCATCACCTAGTGCTACGTTCAGTGACCCTTGAGGGGATACCAGTCCCCTTGAGGTTGCAGATATGCTTTGCTGATGAGTACTAATAAACAGGAAACTTAAGCCTAGAATTAACTGTCAATTTCCTACAACCAGTTAATATTAACCAGAAGTGAATTGCAATGGCGAATCGCCCAGCTTAATGAAAATACTGAAAAATAATCGATATAATTCAGTCAACACTTGGCACTACGCAACGCGTAATTGTTTACTCTCCAGTGATCAGTTAATATATCTCTTCTAAATCTAGAGAGGTAAACAAGTGACGGATTGATCATTCAGTGCTCGGGTAATTTTAGGTTTGCCAGTTAGAATTGTTACTAGTAAGTGGAGATGACATCTGACAGTTCACGTTTTTTAATTGGCACCTTTACTTCGTATTTTTGAATGGTAATATTATTGAAATGAACGATCAGTATTCAGACACAACTTATCTATGGGACATTTCAGCACAGATCGTGTAGTTTCCGTATAGTTTTGAAATCATTCAAGTACTACTGAAAATTATTGTTGTTCGACATAGTGAGATATGCTGCTTAATTCGACTAAATAAGTAGTTAGAATCGAGTAATGAATTTTTTACATCAATATAAGACTAGCAGAGTGGATTTTGACGAACTGAAAAGGATTATACATCATTCTCCAGCCAGTATGAGGTAGTTGACTGGGCAGAACAACACAGACTCTTACAAAGAAGTGGTAAGGTTTAGGTAACCGTATTCCGAAATAATATACGCCATAATTCAGCTCGATTCGATTTGGAGTGAAAAGTTCAGACGGAAGAGATAGTGTGACTACTACGATGAACGGATAGCTAAGCATCATGGAACTTGTTGACGAAAGGTAGTAAAACTTTCACGAGTGCGATAGCCACATACTGATGGAAACTGGACACCAAATAGATATATCTCTGAAGTCATCAGGATAATAAACAAATAAAACTGCCAGTTCAAATTGAGAGGAACACAGATGAGTAGAGTACACCTCCCTAAATGACAAGTATAACGTGACTTGATAAACGTGTGAATGTTCGGGCACTAAGCTGTATTCAGCATGTGAGAGTTAGTGGTACTGCCTACTTACTCGAACCCCAGTAGGCGGAACCTGGTTCGAACCTGTGACTTACTAGTTGGAAGTTGAGTTCTTAGTCCGACGAGCTATTGAACAAAGTGATATATGTATACATATACATCCACTCCTCAACTGTGAAGTTAGTACATCACACTGATCCACCCAGACGTGTTAACATATTATTCCGTATTTTTGCTGAATGAGAAATAAAAATGGACAAAGGATCATACTTCTAGCTCCCACAGTGAACGTTCTCGTTCCCAAGTTATTTGTCTACATGAACTCAAATTCACCGTTTAAAGCGTGTTGTTTATGGTCAACTTCCAGATAATTCAAAATGGATTGTGCTACAAACACTGAGTTACATCGAGTTCCTTCAATGGGTTTAACATCACCAGTGAATTATCATTAAACTCTTCCTTTTTTAATTTTGCCGATAAGATTATGCAACCAGTCTACTATATCTGTTGAACATTGTATTTATTTATTTTGCCATTTTTTCATTCAACTGCACTTTAGATAACGATAAGTGCTAATCAACCAATTTTTACTGGTTCACAAGTACACATGCATGAGTATATATATATAGGTATTAAGACTACCTTATTAGTTCGTGCAAAGTTAATATTGATAAATTCAATAAATTAGCTGTGACATTGCTGTATATTTTTTAATGATAAGGGTCATAATGAATCCAGCTATGAACAATAGATTCATTCAGACGTAAACAATAAATACAGACACAGAAACAATGTGAAAACAAGGGGTTATACTTTACATCTGCAAATCGAAGGGAAAGTAGTAGAAAAGAGATTAGCAAAAGTAATAATGACAACAGTAACAATAGTGGTAATAACAGATAGTAGAAAGGATTGAAAATACCAAAAAGAAGCAGAATAAATGGATGAGAACAGGGAGAACAAAGGCATATGTCTAACATATACTGCAGAATTAGACACAAAAGTATCCATAACACTGTGACGGTTTTTTTTTAGAGATATTCGACTATCTATCAAAGGACGAGTATACTGTGCTGCTGCTGTCCATTCCGTCCTGTTATGCGGCTGAGAGCGAGACACGGCCGTTAAGAGTACAAGACATGAAGCAATTACAGGGTGTTAATCACGGGTATCTTCGTAGCATTTCTCGTGTTTGGTGGAATCACCATGTGAGTAATGTTGAGGTTAGGCGAAGGGTACTAAGCAAGACAAACAACTCAAGTGATCAGGTTGTGAACCTTCATCAGCTGTGAAGTGGCTTACATATGTGTTGTACATACCTATCCACTACCTCCCTCGACATGCCAAGCTAGGGGAAGTTGGATTACGTTGGAAGTGTTCAGGGTGATCACACCAAGACGTGGTACCAGTCAATGAAGTCTCTTACTGTTGGCCTGAGCCGTGATTTCTCTAGCTTTGATTAATTCATTTTAAAACTTATAATTCTCTGAACAGCTTAGAAACTTAGTAGTCAAATGCCTTATCCCTACCTGACCAACATTATTGTTCGGTGTCAGACAGCTAAGTTAACAAATGCACTATAACGTTTCATAAATTTCCTATCAAAGCCAATAATAACGTACAGCGATCTACACCACAATAATGAGACATTTAATCTTCATTGTAACACAAAACCAAATAGCACTAGAATCATAAAAGCCCAGTTTCGTTATGTTATTGTAGCGGTAAACAATTCACCAAAATCAATAAAATTAGGGTTCGACACGACTCAACATTGCTGCTGACCTGCATATTTTTGACGGACTTGGTAGGCTAATGCCAGACGGTTAAGCATCCACGCTATTTGGCACGTTGCCATGTTATGTTGCGTTGCTCTTATGTGGTCCTCTAGCCAGCTAGTTACAAAGCATCGGTATTTTGACAGGGTCTATCAAATATTATAGTTCCACCTGGCTACAATATTGTGTTGTTTCTTAGTTTCGCATTCATGGGTATGTTACCAGTACAAATAATTAGTGGTTACCCTTTGCGTTTGTCAAGTTCATGCAAGATCAATCCCTAAATTATCATTTTGAGAACACTTTTACCAGTTCAAAAAGACGGTTACATTCACGGTAGGACTTAAATTATTAGTACTGGCATAAAATTTGCTGTGAAGTCTTGATAATCTGCTTTCATAAGTCAAACATAAAGCTTGTTAGGGCTGGTGAAAGTGTAGCCTTAGGTTTATTGTTAGAAATTTATTGCCCATCAGCAAACGTCCATAACACTCGCAAATGCTGAAGGTTAGATGAGTGCATATGAGTTACTATCTTATTTCATTGACGTACGGTTCTTACCTGTGGATATTGTTGGAGAACACTCCAACATTGAGTCCGTTAGACCATATCAAGATATCGTTTGGCATTACTAGGGAGCGGTTAAAGTCACGACACCTCGTATCAGAAAATCAAGATACAGGGTAGCAGGATGAAACATAGAGAAATAGGGACAGATAGTGAGCTTGCATTCCTGTCTTCTTTATAATTCATTCAGTTCAGTCAGTGGGATAGCCATTGTTTGTTCCACAGTCAGTCGTCAAGTTTCAAGGTTTTGGGTTAGGTATTCAATCCGAACATTTATATTTAGTACCCGATTAGCCAGTTATTATTTCAATACTATGATATTCACAAGTTTCAGTTGCAATAAAAACCAACTACAACATTCAAATACACATTCTAATTCAATGCTGGCATCAGATCACTTATTACTGAAAACAGATATTTGCACCTGATTTAACGTTTTTCATTGATCTATAACTTCCATAACCTTCGCTGAACCCTAAACGTCCCCAGATGATCACATTATTGTTAGACCAGTGGATCGCAATTTAGCATTAGGTAATGATGCTTCACAAAGTGTAATCAGTGAGCATTTCCGCTCACTGTCAGCTTGTAGTTGAGATGATTCACCTCTCAAAACAAAATGCACTAATTTTTAATGACTGGTTTCCTATAACTGGCTAGTTGGGGTCCACGGGACAAAAGAAACCAGGGTTGGAGACTGGGCAATATAGCTCAGAATTGATGTCAGTGGCGCAGATATATGTGCGCATTATCCTCATCTCAACCGCTATACTTAGTCTCATCATTTTCTAATCCATCCTTCCTCTCTCTTACTACTGTCTACTATTGTGGTGGGTGCTACTGATAAGAATGGATATAAGTAGTATATGTCAAGAAATCAGCAGGAACCATAGGTAATTACAAACCATGGGTAAATATTCTGCACAAAGAAACGTAACAAACAATGTGGGTGCACGAAGAGCAAATCAAGATAGAAGATAAAGAGGAAATGAAGCATATTCTCCAAATGACTAGTTTAATGCAGAGTGTACAATATTTCATCACTACTCCACAACATGTCATAATAAACATCATGTCCTACGTCTCATTCTTTGTCGTTTCTTACACTTCTACTTCATTTGATCAATTTGTCTCTCCTTCATCTTCCATTTCATTGCCTTGTTACTTGATGTGCTCATGTGAGGTGTAGCAACTTGGACCGTTACACAGTAATGCCTGCGACTATGCTGATGATGATTATGTCAATAAATAAATCTATTTAACGTTACTGTGATGATTGAAATAAAATGGTATCCAGCACTGTGGGAAGTGCAGAACTAGGTCAAAACTACTTTTCAATGGCTGTTTAAAACTAATATTGGTTCAAAGATGGGATAATACAAGCAATAACAACATTAAAAATTATACTCGTCGTACAACAAGCGGCTATCGTTACACCATGGTCAAGTGGATTATGCTCTGGAGTTTGAAGCGATCGGTCCCAAGTTTGAGTTCCAGTGGGGACAATATCGCTGATTGGGAGGCTGATACATTCTGCAGATAAATCACAAGTAGGATGACCACGCGGGTCTTGGATTCCACTGCTACTCACTATCCATCATTAATACATAATGTTAGTTCAGTTTACGAACAATTTTCAAGGTTCATTAGACATCAAATACGACAACTTAGAAAATAATAATAAAGAAAACTAAATGATTTTCATGTTTTTCAAAACATAAGCTCTTTATAAGGTTTAGAGGTGATTGAATTAAATTGACGAATAGTTGCACTTTGTGACCTTTAATTATTCATTGTTGTCCTTCAAGAATATACACTACTGACTATTTCGTAAAAAGGATCAAATTCGGTAAAAGAGGAATGCTAAAGATTTTTTTTCTTAGAGGTGAAGAAGATGAAAATTAGCCAAAAGTATGATATGAGTACGATTCGCGTAGATACATGTTCATGTAATATGGGTGACTGTAAAAGGCACCTTAGCAACTGCTGAGATAACACCAATTGGGCTTCTGTATTCAATGAAAAACTAACTTTTAGGTGAAACATTGAAATCTGATTGGTTATTAAGGTAGTTGCCAGGGTGGCCTTTAAAGGTCACCACAAATCTGAATTATTTATTTTAAGGAAATCTACCTTCCCAGAGGAAGTAGCGTAACCTAATTGGTCATTTCACTTGTTGCTAGAGTGGTCTTAAAAATCATATTGCATTATTACTGGGTTAAAAGGAGTATGCGAGAATCTTGGACACAAACTGAAATGATCGATGTCATGGCGAATGAGGACAGGCATATGAAGTTCATTAGACACGAATACACGGATACATCCATTGCAATCATGCGTACATATACATACACACACTTAAAAGTGTAAAGTGCAACCGAAAAGACCTAGGGATTACATTATAGTGCATAGAAGATAGCCAATAGAAATTGTGACAAGATCGAAGCTATCACAAATTAGTACAACAGACTGTAAATCAGCTGATCATGGAGAATCGATTATCCATTTTACTGATCGATAATATGTACGAAATAAATCTCTAAAGAAATAAGTACGCTTTATCACGATATCAAGGTCACAAAGCAATTGTTCAGTTTTAAACCTACAAAGCCCTGATTTAGTATATAAGTGATGATAAAAAAGTGAATGAAATTAAGAATAAATGAAAAATATAGCCAGTAGATACTCTAACTAATTCAGTCAGTTGAAATGTGACTCACTTAAACGATATTATTAACGCGGAAGGTATAGAACTGTGTGTTTTATAGCCCGGTACGTGGAAAACGTGCACAATTCGCGGTTACACTGTTTACAATATTTATTATTCATACTAGGTGGTGATTGGAAATAGAGCGAAAATCTGAGCCATAGTAGGATTCGAACCAACTGACCTCTGGGGTTGTCGGCCCAGTGCTCTACCAAGTGAGTTACGAAACTCGACTGTTTTAACCAGGCTTTTATTTCACCTCAATTCTTGTTATTCAGTTTACAATTTCATATGACAATTATACATATTACGTTGAAGTCAGTTAGAAAATGCTACAGTATACAAATTTGTCTGATCAACATTATTACTGCTGACAACTCCAGGTGCTACTAATTCATATGAATCAACTTCAACTAGACATTTCCTGAAAAAGTGCACTTTGTTGAACAATAAAAGAATGTCATTCAACAATAAAGCACAAATTTATTTACTAAGTAACTAGTTGCATCTATTGTATGAGTGATATGATGCTACCTGGCTGGTCAAGTCTCAGCAGATGAGGAAGCGTTCGGATGTCCAACTTCATGATTGAAAGTCGAGCGTCTAATCCCATCAAAAACTATGATGCTATATGCAGTAGTATGCTCTTACTTCTTACATAATGTGTATGTCACATCTTTTTATCAGAAAGCTTTGATCTCAAAAAGACCATCATAATAAGAATTTCCCGATTGAGTCTTGACATTACTCTGTACTATTCTCATATTTCACACATACAAGCCTTGTAAAAACCTATTTAACAGAAAGAAAAATTGAATGACTGAATTATTTTCCTTTGATCTCATACACATACAATGGAGTATGAACATGAAGATCGCCTAAACTTTTTTGGCCTATCGATCAAAAGATGCAACGATGTTTCAGTTGACAGAAGTATCTAACGCAAAAATACATCAACTCGACAATATATAAACTACAACGGCTTTTATTAATGATGTATAATGGCTAGCAGTGGGATCCAAGATGCGGGTATCGTCCTGTTTGGGACTCGTTAGCTGGATGTAACGCGTCCTGGATTCCATTGCTTGGCACTATCCATCATTAACATCAAAAATGAAAATATCGGCAATATAGAGGCATCCAAGCAGGAGCCCATATGTCAATAGAGATTGATCAGTTCGGTCCACTCAAGGATGGGATAATACAAGTAACAACATTACAACAGTTTTTGATCAATGAACTATAAACATGAACTGGTTAGAACGCCTTTTAACAGAGTTAAGAAACTTTGCTTAGAAGGCAAAGTAAACAATGAGTTAGTCCTCCTTGAAATGCATCTTTTAGATAAAGGTTATCTAAAATGTTTTCAAAAGTACATGCGAAGAGAATGAATTTGGCTACAGATTGAAAAAAGTCAGAGTTCATTCAATAAGTATACAAAAGAGATGGTATTTCCCAAAGGATAAGCAGAAGGTTACAGTTTTCTCTTGCTAGAACATATCCAGTAGAGAAACTGGTTCCGCTATACAGCACTAGTCACGCCATATATCAGTCTAAAATGGACAAGTACTTGTCTAACGTCACCTCCAACTATATATTTACGAATTCCATGTACTTGCCAAAGAGGGTATATTGAAAAGAAATGTTTCAAAGAGCCTGTGACTGAACAGTTTGAAATCGCCGACAAGTCCAATCACACACTTTTTGGTTGAATCATAACACAGAGTGGATATATCTACAGTCTTAAAGATAATAAATTGACAACGATCCTCTTTTACTTCATTTTGTAGAATCAACAGCAATAAAACGCTTTCCACCTGACGTGTTTATCCCAAAAGAGACAATGATTAATCTAGTATTACCTTGGCAACTAGATTTGCCTTTACTATATTATTTCTTTATTTCATATTCATCCGCTTTCCGTTTTATTACTTCTGCCATATAGTTTATGTAATATAACATTCAGCGGTTTGTTTCTTTACGGAAAGTCTGTAATTATAATGAAAATCATTATTATGCAAGTGATTACTTCACCATACTCGCTGTTAAAACTCTAAGATCTCTCTTCTAATCGCCTATAAATCAACAAACTTTATCACCACTATTTTTCACATTTGTTAGCTGGATTTTGCCTTTTGTGTCTTTAACACGGAAGTATATTTCTCATATTATCCCATACTAGTTCTGTACGTATTCCAGACTGTTTGCAGTTGACGGGAAGTTACGAAATAAATATGCACTTAAGTTATCCTGTAAATCTTGGTTTGCTGAAAACCATAGAATAAATAAAACACCTCTTGGATAATCAAAAACGCTTTCTGCTAGATATGAAAATGGAATACTAAAGTATTAAAGGATATCAAATAACTAGGTATCTAACGGAATATAACAACTTTTCAGTCAGGTGTTGTGGAAGCAGAGTTGAAAATAGTTGGTAGCTTTCAGTTGTACGTAAGTAAAAGCCAGTTAGATCATTGAAGTCTCGTCCGTTGTTGGATAACCTAAGTTATATGTTTCCAAATTTATCACAATGATGCAGACGTATTTATTCTTCACCTCAGACAAAATATTCACAGGCAGACTTCTTGTTGTTGACTTCATTTTCCTAGTTTTGAGGTGTGACAGCTTAAGTTGACGAACTTATTTTGCTACGTATAACTTACGGAGTTATAATAATAATAGTAACAATAATAATATTCCAAGTGTAATGATTATAATTGCTATGTTAACGATCAATATGGGTAAATATAAATGAAGATATGGTTTACCTGTGAAATTGGATGGGCTAGATCAGGGGTAAATGGTCCATTTACATGTGGCTCCAAGGTATCTAGATTTATCTCAATAACTTTATCATATTTGCAGTTTATATCTGGTGTAAGCAAAGAAGCCTAAAGAGAGAGAAATTGAATCACCAATAATATAAAATATTGAAAATGTCGATTTACATATGTTAGTATTAAGATGTGATTTTAACACGCTCAGATTACATCATAAGGAGTTTTACAAAAGGGTAAGTATATTACTGTCATGGAGAGCAACAACATCCTCTAGATTCCTCAAAGAAGCCTGGATATCCCTGAAAAGCCTTCACAGTCAACCATGGAATGTCGAACGTTCGAGAAAAACCACGTGATCATACATGTGAGACTTAGATTGGTAAAAGGGCTTTCATGAAAAGTGTAGAACTTCTCAAGGTCATCAGCAAATACATATAAAAAGTGTGTTTTTGTACATAATCGACTGGACAATGAACCCTCAACATCTTTTGCCGCTTCGTTCTGTTTTCCAGGAACCGAGGATCATCAAGGATGAAGTCCTAGGTTACTGTTAAAGAGTCTACTCCTGTTACTTATTTATTTTCCCCTTGGGTTCCTAGTGGAACACAGGACTTCAGTAGCACATCGTCATTTCAATCTCTTCTCTGCAGTCTTTCCAACCTGGCTCCATCAATGCCCAGAAGCTTTCATTTCTTCCTCACACCATCTCCTCCATGTCACCCTCACCTCGGACGCCCAACTTCTAGTTTCCCATTTCGATTCCACTCAAGAGTTTGGTCTGACATGTGATGTCCAAAAACGGTATTCTCAGTGTATGCCTAATCCATATCCCTTTTTTTCTGCATATTTGTTGGGCGATGGGTTCTTGGTTGGTTCGCTGCCAGCCAACCAGAGTTCCTTGCTGCACATTCTCATACTATTGACATCCATCTCACTGATCTTCAGTATCGAGTGAGCGTAGGTGGCAGCTGTTGATGAATGTCTGTAGTTCGTTGGAAATGCTTTTCGTAACGCGCCTCCAAGTCTCTCAACCATCACATAGAAGCATTGACTTACTTGACTGAATTAGTGTTGAAAATCCGCATCTTGTTCACGCTTTATGCTGATTGCAGTGCAGTCTAGTAGACCTCCACACTGATATCAGAATGATGAAAGAAGGCCTGTCTTGCCGTCTTTCCGATCCTGGCTGGCTTTGACATCCTCATCTGTGCCGCCTAGGTAGGTAAAAGATACTACTTCCTTCAGGTTTCCCCGTTGATGGTGATTGGTGCTTGTTGTTGTTGTTGTTGTTGTTGTTGTTGGGTATCTTCATCACCTCTTTCTTCTGTACATTCACTTGAAGACATGCTTTCGCTGCCCTGCCTCTTCTGTCAACTTGTTAGTTTTCGCCTGTCGATCTTCGAGTTTATGCCACAAGACATTAGACATAAATCATCGGCGAAATCTAAATTTTCATCGGTCCAGCCAGTGTACGTCCATTTTCTCACAGCTCCTCACAGTTGTCTGTCGCATGATTCAGCCCACCACAATCAGGAAGATCACCGGTGATAGTAAGTGGCAACCTTGTCTTACTTCTCTCTGTCTTGACTTAAAAGGCATTACTGAGCTTTCCATTGTGTTGTGAATTACTTGGCATGTAGCTTCATATAGCATATGGCTACTGTTGAATGAAGTTGATAAAGGTTTATGGGACTAAAACCGTAGTGTTGAAGCAGCTCCCTGCCAAATTATTTCTAGGTCGACGCTGTCGAAGGCCTTTTCAAAATCAAAGAAGTTGAGGTAGAGTTGAGTTGACTGCCATTCTATGCTATCTCCTATGATGATGCATAGCGTAGCGTTACAATTTGGTCCACACATGATTTGTTTTTCTTGAAGCCAGCCAGCCTGTTCCGGTCCTGCTTTTGAGCCCAGCGCATTTTTCAGTCTCCCTAGGATGATGCGGCTTAATATTTTGCTTGGGTGGACAGGAGTATGATTCCGTGAAAGTTCTTTCAAAGACTTAGGTAGCCCTTCTTCAACCAACCAGCAGCTACCTGTCCTTCCTTCCAAATCTTCTGCAGTAGTGGTGTGGTGTGAGCATGTCTGCTGTTGTCTCTGCGTCCGTTTTTAATGCTTTTGGAGGAATTCCATCTGGTCCTGCTGCTTTCCCGGCTTTCAGCAACTTTATGGCGTTCAGGACTTCGGCTTTTGTCGAATCTGCGAACCAAATTAAATAATGGGTGATTGGAATAAAAAATAATGGTTATAAAGTAATTTATATGAACCATAATCAAGATTTGATCGAAGTGCCGCAAATATTAGGCGGCGAGCAAAAATTTGACATCAGACATAGTTCGTATTTTTATAAGTCAAAGTGTGTTCGAAAGAAAATAATTCCAATGTTTCATGTGGAAGTCTGGTCCGAGCTTCTTCACGAAAGCTGCCTGAATTCCTTCACATTTATTCAGGAATAAACATAAAGTATAATGTGCTGTGTTGAGACGAACCAATAAAACTTCGACCAGGGCATATGAGGGACAATTGACCTAAAAGACTAAACTTATATCAATATAGTCTACTGAAATAAACAACGATCTGTTAATTTGTGTATATTTAGCAATGAGATAACCACCTTATGCTTTGACGCTAAATCACCAATATCTGCTCTATTTGTAGCACGTAAATAGTCCAACATACGATCGTTAAAAGGGAAAATTGAAGTTGTAGCACCGATTTCAGCACCCATATTACAAATCGTAGCCATACCCGTGCACGAGATTGATTCAACACCAGGGCCGTAATATTCTACAATAGCTCCAGTTCCACCTTTGACTGTAAGAATTTCAGCTACCTGGAAAAAATTATTGTACAGGAATGAAGTTATTTTATGGTTCGTAGCAGGAATAACGCGAAATTACTCAACAATACATTTTAATTAGTTACGAAAAAGATCAGGTAAATACCAAATGCTAACCGATTCTGATGCAAAGGTTTGTGTTCAACTGTGATAAAATGTGGCTACTTTGAAACCAAAAGATCAGTTGAGATTCCTATAGCATAGCCAGTTCCCATACAATACCTCTACCACTCTTGTCAGCAATCTCCTACCTCCATCTCTGAAGGCTTCGGGTGGCAAACTGTCAGGTCCTGCTGCTTTGCATCATTTCAGGTTCGATACAGCCTCCTCAACTTCAACGACAGCGGTGAACCGACATCTACGTCCCACTTAAGTTCAGGCTGGCTGGATGCTGGGAAACAAGCGCTGCTATGGGACAGTTGAACTGTGCTTCAGTGTTCTTCCCAACGCTCTAGTCACTTGTCCTGGGAGGTTATCAGGAGAGCATCCTTTTCAGTGGTGATTTCGCTAACCATCATCCTCTTCTTATCGGTATCCTCAATAAACCTAAATAGTTGCTGAATGTTACACAACGCTGATTCTTTCTCCATTCTTTCGCTTTAGCCACCTACCACTGCTCGCGATCGACTGAAGACCCTAGTTCGATTCACGTTTAAGTTGCTTTCGCTCTTTGTCCTGGTCACAGCCAGCTGGAATAAGTCTTCTCGTACCAACCAGTTTGGTAGATGTTGCGAAAATCCAACGACGTTTGTTAACCTTCGGGTGTAGGTAATCAACTGTCTTTACCGTTGTTTCTACAGCAGACAATGTCACGCCAGGCTCCCTCAGGATGAGTACTGCTGTCATGTTCAGATAAATGATTAATACATATTCGGCGCCTTCATCTTCCAATCGAGAATAGACAGGCTTTACTATCACCTGTTTCCTGCGACCACTAAGGCGCAGACAAACACGAGCCCATACTAGTGTGGAATCGAAGTCCAAACTAGCAGTCAAGAAAGAGCAGCAATCCTAAATCGGTCCTCTCCAACGATAGCTTATTGCAATATGATGCATGTCCATCGTCGATTTGAAGTTGGCGGACATACAGACGACATCATTTTATTTCATAGGACTGTCGTTAGCTGCACACAACGTGAATAAGTAAATAATAACTATAACAAACATTAACATATCTTAGTTGGAGAGTGTTTTAAGATACCGGTTAATGACCAGGCAAACATTACAATTCAGAAGGCAGAGGATATTGAAGTAGGGAATTCAGTCAAACTAGATAAATGTTATATAAAACGAGGGGAGGAGTGCCCACAAATGAGCGGATAAGATTAGAAATAAGTGGAAGCAGTTGCACAATCATGTGAAAATATTATGTCAACAGAATGGTAAGTGGAAACTATAAGAGGTAGTATAAGTAAATACAAGATTGGTGGTTAAAAGTAATACGAATCAGAATTGGTACCACCAACATGAATACACCTACTTGTGATCTCGTTCAAAATTATGGAGATTTTTATCACTTGTCACTTATTATCTGTTAATGTCAACAGTCATTTTTTAAGCCCACCAAGTTCCAGGCACAAACACGACCATACTTATTGATGCTCAACTCTAACTTTTTTAGATCTAAATGTAGTATACAAATTTGAATCATGTAAGTTAGTAGAGGATTTCGCACTGGACCCTCAATATATTACGAATATAATGGGCAACCCAAGTATACTGGCTTAAAGTCCATCAAAATAATATTCCTCTTGCGATAACCACAGAGGAATCAGCCTGACGAATACAGTATCTAAAATTCTAGGTTCTGTAATTCTTCGAATCCTGGTTGGAGATCGTGAACAACAAGCCCGAGAAAACCGGGCAGGCTTTTGACCCGGTCGGGGGTGTATCGACCAAATATTCACACAACACCAGGTTCTGGAACATAGCATGCTTACCAACGGCCTGCAATAGCTGTATTTCTCAACCTGAAGGCGGCATTCGACTCCGTCGATCGAGAAGTCTTATGGCAGTCTCTCACCGAGTAAGTACATCACCTTATTGAAGGTTCTCTACTCGAACACATATGGGCGTGTTAGAGCCTATAGTGAGACATCTGGGGAAGCTGTACTCGTCAAGTGGTGTCCATCAAGGCTGCCCGCTGTCTCCATTCTTATTCAGTCTTATAGACATTCTTATGGAGGTCTCCCTCTCGTCACCTGACTACACAGACGTTGACCTAATCCCTGGAGAATTTTCGTTAGACCTAGAATACGCAGATGATATAGTCCTGTTAGGTGGAGACGCTGACAAGATGCAGAGTCTTCTGGACACCTTGGGTGGCAATATGAGAATGTTTGGGATGCGTTTCTCACCACGAAAATGCTCCAGGATTGGTCTTCAACGGTGCCATGGCTAATAATAGAGAGTGTAGTGGTTGAGTGTGTTGACCATTCCACTCACCTGGGAAGTCGGATCACTCCTAGTGGCTTAGTGGTCAATACAATTTCTGCACGAATACAAAAGGTTCGGATGGCTTTTGCCACCTGTGGCACCGCCGTGGTATCCGATTTTCTATTAAGGGTCGCCTGTACTGCACAGCAGTCCGCCCTGTTCTACTGTATGACTGTGAAACATGGCCATTGAAGGTGGAAGACATGAGAAGGCTGGCTGCAGGTGTTTGACCACCGTTGCCTTCGTAGTATAGACCGTATTCTGTGGTGTCACCAAGTAAGTAACATAGAATTCAGGTGTAGAGTTTCAGGGAGAAGAGGTAAACAAGTTGACGAAGTTGTGAACCTTCATCGATTGAGATGGTTGGGACACGTACCACGTATGCCTAGTCACCGATTGCCTCGTCACACAATGTTGGCCGAAGTAGGTTCAGGCTAGAAAAAGGCCCGAGGTGGCCAGACTAAAACATGGCACCAATGTATGAAGTCTCTGACTGTTGGTTTGAGCCATGTGGGACGATGCAGACTAGGTGGTTGGGGTCCGTAAGACAAGAGAAACCAGTGGTTAGAGGCTCTAGGTGGTATGGCTCAGAACCGATGTCAGTGGCGCAGATGTATACACACATTATCATCTTAACGACGCTATACCGAATGTCACCATTTTCTCATTCTTTCTTTCTCTCCTTTATTACTTGATATTTCTCGTGACTGAACTGTCTTTTCTTCATCTTCCACTTCACTGCCTTTTTACTTGATGTACTGATATGAGCTGTGACAACTTGGACCGTTACTCAGTAATGCCTGGTCCTGTGTTAATTTAGATGGATGGTACATGCATTTGCTCATTATCTTCCCAAAAATAATGAAAGTACCTAACTTCGTATTGATTTGATTCCAGATCACTTATGCTCGACTTGTTCATTTTTACATTTTTCTACATTGGTGAGA